ATTGCCTGAAACGTCGCCTATTGTACGTAATTTCATTGTTTCTGAGGCCACGGACACACGGTGTTATTGGCGAACGACGCGTTGAGCTTTTGCTTTTTTCCAGTTCCGGAAGGCGACGTGCCGATGTGCCTTAAGCCGGCCACGGGCGTGCGACTTCTATAATCCGCGTGTCATTTTTTACCCCTCCTCTGACGCGTGGATTCGGAAACATTAACAAAGCGGGGGGGGAGTTGGGGGGGGGGAGTTGGGGGGGGGGAGTTGGGGGGGGGGAGTTGGGGGGGGGGGAGTTGGGGGGGGGGGGAGTTGGGGGGGGGGGAGTTGGGGGGGGGGGAGTGAGTTGGGGGGGGGGGAGTGAGTTGGGGGGAGTTGGGGGGGGGGAGTTGGGGGGGGGGGAGTTGGGGGGGGGGGAGTTGGGGGGGGGGGAGTTGGGGGGGGGGAGTTGGGGGGGGAGTTGGGGGGGGGGGGGAGTTGGGGGGGGGGGGAGTTGGGGGGGGGGGAGTTGGGGGGGGGGGAGTTGGGGGGGGGGGAGTTGGGGGGGGGGAGTTGGGGGGGGGGGAGTTGGGGGGGGGGGGAGTTGGGGGGGGGGGAGTTGGGGGGGGGGGAGTTGGGGGGGGGGAGTTGGGGGGGGGGAGTTGGGGGGGGGGAGTTGGGGGGGGGGAGTTGGGGGGGGGGAGTTGGGGGGGGGGAGTTGGGGGGGGGAGTTGGGGGGGGAGTTGGGGGGGGGGAGTTGGGGGGGGGAGTTGGGGGGGGGGAGTTGGGGGGGGGGAGTTGGGGGGGGGGAGTTGGGGGGGGGGAGTTGGGGGGGGGGAGTTGGGGGGGGGGATGTGCTCCCAAGCGACGGCTACAAAGGGCGCTTTAAACAAACCCCCCCCCCCCCGTGGCGAAACACGACCGCTGAAATTTCCACCGGGGACAGAATGAGGAACGGCCGCCGCGCGGCGGACGAGTCGGAAACCCGAGGTCGGAGGCGCCGTACCGACCGCCGCCGAGACGGGAGGCACGGGACGCGTCGCGCGTGGCCGGAAGGGGGGACAGCGGCCTGCCGGCCGGCCGGCAACTGCTAGCGGTGATGCGCCCCCCCCCTCCGCCCCCCAATGGGAACGTCTCCAGCTGGGGAGACGGAGTGGCGAAATGGGGGGCCGCGAGTGAGCCACGTGGCTACCTGCTTGGGAGCCACGTGGTTGCCTGCTTGGGAGCCTCGCAGCCCCTGTGGCAAAAATATTTTAATTGTCAGGGACCAGCTGAGGTTGCAAAAAAAATACACAACTTACCGCATTCTCCCGTTGATCTCCTGCCCAACATATTTTTTAAGAAAACGCTGGGGTGGTGCATCTTGGAATCCGGTAGCTGTGTGTGTGTGCGCGAGTTTGTCTTTATTTCTATGGGGGAGCTGTGGTGTAGCGGCTGGCTTCCTGTGCTACGAACCCGGCGACCCCTCCGTCTACTTGGCCTCAAATGAGTACCTGGTGCGATGTGTATACATATCAAAACAATAGAGAACCAATAATAAGGGTTTTTCCCCTTTTTCCTGGCAACAAAACTGAAACCTTTTAACAAGGATTCATGTTACAGCATTAACCACAATACCTGCAGTCAAAATACATCTGGTCGAGCACCAATTGGGTCGAGGCTCAAAAGAAAGCCGTCCCTTGGTGTGGACCAATCAGTTTCAAGGACAATGCATATATATTATCATAGTGTGTTTTTTTGTTTGCATTTTGACTGCAGGTATTGTGGTTAATGCAGACATGGATCCTCGTAAAAAAAGGTTTCAGTTTTGTTGCCAGAAAAAAGGGGAAGAACCCTATTATTACATTTTGGTGCTGGCAAAGGAGGTCTAATGAAATAGAGAACCACTGATGTACAGCCGCAGCAGACCTTGCGTCAATCCACTGCCGGATGAGGGCCTCTCCATCATTGCAGGCCGCTGTGCGGCTGATTGGACCAGTGTGGAGCAAGGCGCCACGGTGGCTATGAGATGTTAACTACCTCGCCTGGTGTGCAGGAGCTCGTGGGTTCGATGCCGACCCTGACGCCTGCTGCTGCTGTATACGAGGAGTTTGCGTGTCTCTCTCTCATCATCATCATCACGGTGGCTATGAGATGTTAACTACCTCGCCTGGTGTGCAGGAGCTCGTGGGTTCGATACCGACCCTGACACCTGCTGCTGTGTATTTGGAGTTTGCGTGTTTTCACTCCCTGTGGTCGCGTGGATTTTCCTCCGGGTCCTCCCGTTTTTTCCCTCCACGGTTAGACTCTACGTCACGCGTTTAGAGTGTTTTGACTGCTCTACATTTCCACGTGATGATGATAAGCCACTTCGTTGGGCGATCGTCTGTGGCCCGGATCGCTCGCTGAAAAAGATCTACGCAGCTCGGTGGGGGTGGGGGCGGGGGGGGCCGTGTTGCTCGGCCTTGCCGTTATCGCATTCCTCCTCGCCCGTAAGCCTGGCACGTCGCTTCTCTTGGCGCCGCGGTGATGAATTTTAAATGAAATGTCGCACGGGTCAGAGAACCGGGCCAGCAGCAGCAGCAGCAACAACAACAGCAGCAGTAGTAGTAGCAGCAGCAGCAGCAACGACAGTAGCAGCAAGAGAAGCAGCAACAGAAGCACCAGCAGCATCAGTAGCAGCAGCGACAAGAACAACAGAAGCAGCGACAGCAGTAGCAGCAGTAGCAGCAGCGACAAGAACAACAGAAGCAGCAGAAGTAGCAGCAGTAGCAGCAGCGACAACAGCAGCAGTAGCAGCAGCACCAACAGCAATAGCAGCAGCGCTGGGAGGAGACCTCATCACTCATCTCTGCCTCGTCCCTCCACTTGGCGTTAGAAAGATGGCTCACAATGCTCTCATCGTCAACGTTGTGATTGATGGCCATAACGATGATTGCTGATAGTTATTAATAATAATAAAGGCTGAATGTTTTCAGTCTAAGACGAGCAAAACTCAAAACGTTCGACGATAACTGCGGCCTTAAAGAATATATGTAATGAACGACGTTTCAGGCAATGGCCCTTATTCATAGTAACATAATAAATAAAAATTATGTTAAGTTACGGACGCAGAATGATAGATTTTAGTGCGTCTTCTGGATGTGATGTGCGCCGGGTTTAGTTGCCGGATGATGACGATGACCGTGCTAGAAACATGGAGTGGATAATAAGAGTCGGAGAAGACTTCGCTTATAGGAGTAGGTTTTACCCTTTTAACTGGCACAAAAACTGACACCTTTATTCAAGGCATCATGTTTGCAATGACCACAACACAAGCAGTCAAAATGCAAACAAAAAAGACAACTCTGATAATAATATGCACTGTCCTTGAATTTGATTGGTCCACACCCGAGACAGCTTTTCTTAGAGCCTAGTCTCCATTGGTGTTGGACCAGAAGACGCCAAAAGGCGTACAACTAAAAAAAACAGCGCACTATCAGAGTATTGAGGGCTCGGGGTGAGCATACTTACACTGATGACCAGTTTCTGTTTTACAAATTGGCACACGGATATATTTGCATGTTGTCCTATTCAGGCCGCAGCGGTGCTACTGCTGTTGACGAAGGTTCCGAGTGTTGTTCATTGGGCTTGTGCACCACTGCCCACACAGCAGTGGCAGCAAATCATCTTATTATGATTACTTTTGACGTACGATTGATGGTGATGATGACGATGGACACAGACCTCCCCTTCCCTATGACCTGGAAATGGAACTCATCACCGTGGAGGTGAAAATGAGTGTGGTGACGGTGATGGTGGTAGTGGTGGTGGTGGGTTAGGTCGACTCGGCCTCAAATTAATACCTTGGTGCGGTGATGTAGCGGTTAGCGCTACGCTGCGCTACGAACCCGGCGACCCGAGTTCAATTCCCGCTCACGGCCAACACCGGGTGACGATTATCTGAAGCGGTCCTGGTCCTGCTCCCCTTAGGTCGACTCAGCCTCAAATGAGCACCTGGTGCGATGTTAAACATTGTCACTCGGGAGACAAAGGCGGCCAGGCGTTGGTGCTGGCCACCCACCCCCTCGCGTACCCTGCCGGCCTTCATAGGTGCTGCTCGCTAACAGCACTTGCCCCAACGGTCTGTTAAGGCTACACGGGGGAACTTTGCCTTTGTGCTGGGGGTACAACATCACCCACGCCCTCGTGTGCCGATAACGGCCTTCGTAGGCGCTCGCTAACAGCACTTGCCCCTGACGGTCTTTGCAGTCTATGCTGAGGATCTTTGTCTCCGATCGGCTACGTGAAACCCCGACTGGGACTCGAACCCACGCACTGCCGATCTCGAGAGCCTCAAACCCGTGCCGCCGTTGTGCCCCGTTTTACATGCGGCACGGACGTTGATCGTGCCCGCGAGCGGGGGGGCGGGCGGGCGGGCGGGCGGACGTACGCGGGCGGGCGGGCCGTCCTTGTAGCGCCATCGATTCCCTCTCTCTCTCTCCCACGTTCTGCCGTGCGTCATCTCTCGTCATCTCCCCAGGCAGGGGTCGGAGGGCGCGGGGCTCTCCTCACTCTGCTAGACCCACCCCCCCACCGTGGAGACGTAACGGAGCATGCGTGAGCGAGCGAGAGCGTACGTGTGCGTACGTGCCAGAGCGTACGTGCCAGAGCGTACGTGCCAGAGTGTATGTGTGCGTACATGCGCGTGTGGGCGATTTGGCCGCTGCTTGGATACGTGCCTGCCTACGTGGTTGCAAGCTGCCGCACTGAAAATGCAATGCTCAGCGTTTTCCACCTCCCTTCACTCCGCCTTTACCCCGGCCCCCTCTCTCACTGCCCCCTCTCTCACTGCCCCCTCCCGTTCTTTCCTATATCTCCCTTTCACTCTCCCTCCACTTTTTTCTCTCCCTCCTCCCTCCCGCTATCTCCTTCTGTCCCACTCTCTCCCTGCTTCCCTTCCTCCTCTCTCCCTGCCTCTCTCCCCGCCCCCCCCCCCCCCTTGCTCCCTGTCCCCTGCCCCGCGCTCTCTCCTCCCCCATCTCCCCCCCTTCCCCTCCTGGCTGGTGCAGTCAGTTGACCTTCATTCGCTCCGATCCAATTGCTCCTACCTCTCAGCGACCACTCTCCTCCGCTCTCCTCCGCTCATCGGCGCAGCGTACTTGCGGGTCGACGAGCGTTGCTGGTCAGTCTGTCTTGTTGCATCCTCGTCATCGCGGACATCATCATTGTCGCCACTGCCATTGTTATCGAGATCATTATTAGCATCATCATCATCATCATTGTTGTCGTCAAGGTTCTGATCTTATTATCACGATCGTGATCGCTGCATCGTCGAGCGTGATCTATCTACTGTTGGACGAAGCTGTCTCGTGATGCCACAATCCATCTGGCGCCTGCACGCGTGCCGACCTCCGTCGCTCCATCTCCGCGCTCGTCGGGCTCTCGGGCGCAGGTCCCTCCGTCGACATGATCGCACGATCGGCATTCTCGTCGTCGTCATCGTCGCTATCGTTAATCCCCCGCCACCGTAATCTTTGCATGTAACAACGTTGTGACGCGGGGTGAGCGTGCGTGACGTGGTTGTGCCGAGCGACCCGGAGGCGGAGTCGCTCGGTCTCTGTCCTCGGATGAACCTCGCGAGCGTTAACCCCTTCGGAGTGCCGGGGATTTAACTCGCTGCCTTCATTCGAGAGCTCGCATCGATTGGTTCAAATGACGCTGAGCTTAACTCCTGGAATCGAAACGACGTCTCATTTCTCAAACGTATTTTTACAAACCTGTTTTTCCCCGGTGTCGTTTTCACCGGTTGCTATCGGCGTCGCATCGCTCAGCGGATGCCCAGCCGCATCTCGCAGAGCGCCGCAACTCTCCGCGGAAGCGGATTCCGCAGAGCTGCCTCTGAGATCCCTGCTTCAAGTGACGCTGTAGTCCATGCTGCTCGGAGCAGTATTTTTCCCACCCGCTCTTCCGCTTTAATTAGCACGGTTGGCTACGTACGGCGCGGAAGAAGTTCTACATGTATGAGAGCGTCAATATCTTGTTTAATCGCTAGAGCCGGGATTTGGTCCAAATTAAGTGCTGGTCCGAATTTGATATGACGGGGGAGATTTTTGTGCAGTCATGGGTTAAACTATTAAAGTAAAAAATAAACATTTTACCAGGTGAGGCCCCACTGAGCTATGTAGCTCTTTTTCACAAGCGACCTGGCCATCACAAAGGGTGGCTCGACGAAGTGGCTTGTCGCGTGGAAATTTATACCTGTAACTAAATACTCTTAAACGCACATTACGAGGTGTGGAGGGAAAAACCGGGGGACCCGGAGAAAAATCCACGCGACCACGGGGAGAGAGACCACGCAAACTCCAAATATACAGCAGCAGACGTCGGGGTCGGGATCGAACCCACGACCTCCTGTAAAACCAGGCGGGGTAGTTAACATCTCATGGCCACCGTGATGATGATAGAGAGAGACACGCAAACTCCAAATATACAGCAGCATGCGTCAGGGTCGGGATCGAACCCACGACCTCCTGTAAAACCAGGCGGGGTAGTTAACGTCACCCTCGTCACGGGCAGCTGACACCTGGGTTGGAGCCCAGGATCGCTGCCGTGCCAGCATTGGGATGTTGTTTGGACAAGATTACCGGTTCTGTTGTGTGGTCTTTTTTTTAGCTGTGGGACAGAAACCAGAGAATCCAGAGGAAACCCGTTGCAGAACAGGGGTGGGGAGAACGTACAGCACTCCACGCGGAAAGTTGCCCGCGACGCGAATCGAACGCAGGGCGCTTCTTGCTGCGAGGCACGAGTGGTTTCCATTGTGCCAATACCCAGCCGTCCTGCAGACCTGCCGAACTTGCGTCGGAAATATTCTGGGCGTGTGGGGGAAGAGGGGGGGTGGGGGGGAGCGGTGGCATAGTGTTTTGAGCGCTGCGCCACGAACCCGGCCAGGCCACAGTTTAATTCCCCCGCCCGCGACCAAATATCGGTGGCAAATATTTGGACCGGTCCTGGACCATCACCCGAGTCAGCTCAACCTTAACTGAGCACCTGGTGCGGTGTGTATTAAACATACGCACTGGAGAGACGAAACTAGCTGGGCGTGGTGCCGGCCACCCAAGCCACCTCGTGTGCCGTGCCGTCCGTTCAAGAGGCGCTCGCGAACGGCGCTTGCACCCATCAGCCTGTGAAAGGCTACACGGGGGGTGGAACCCCCCTTGTCTCTGTTGCAGGCGGTCACACCCCGCACACGGATGACGACAGCGATGGACTCCGCTCACGCCACCTCGCAGTTCCAGGCTCAGGTTCAGCTGGAGATCGAGAAGTCCATGGACCATGAGCTCAAGAAGCTGATGCACACGTGCAGCAAGGACCAGCTGGAGGTAACTAAAAACTCAACTCGAAACAATTTTTTTATTTTTCCAGGTTAAGGCCTGGAAAAATAATATACATATACACGGCTCTTTTTTAATAGAAGCGACCTCGCCACGAGCGATGGCTCAACGACGCGGCTTGCCAGCGCGTTGTCGAAGTTCTTGAGGGCCGCGGCCACGGCCGTCTCCAGCTGGATCACGTTCAGGCCCCCGACCAGGGTCTGCGCGGTGTGGGAATGGGAATCGTCGGAATATTTTTTTGATACTGCAGGAGGATTCCAATGAGCTACGAAGCTCTTTTTGACCAGGTGTCCAGTAGCGCGGGGGGAACAGGGGGCCAGAATGTTACGCCAACGACAAACACGATAGTAGTGTAAACTTCAGGAAAGGTAAGCTAATCACTTTAAAAAGATAAAAAACAAATAAAAGTAAAAAATGTTTATCTTGCCACTTGAGCTATTAGCTTACTTTTCAGAAGGGACTCGGTCACAAATGTATAGCTTAGCAAAGTAGCCCTATCACATGGGAATTTAAAGCAAAAAATGTATCAAAATAATAGAGACGCATGTTAATAAATTTGGAGGGACAAAGTGGGAGGACCCGGAGAAAAATCCACGCTCCTACAGGGAGACAAACACGCAAACTCCAAATATACAGCAGGCGTGAGGGTTGCAGTCGAACCCAGGACCTCCTGCATACCAGGCGAGGTTGTTAACATCTCGCCACCGCGGCATAACAAGTCCCCCTCCCACGGCAGTGGCCCTAGGGGACGCGGGGGGTCACGGTGGGTCGCGCCAGCTTCGCCGCCCGTGGCTGCGGGCAGAGCGCGGTGCCCAGCTAAGCGCCACACGGACGACGAATTGGTTTTGCGACTGCGGGCCATGCGGCAATGGGGTGGTCTGCGTGTGCCTCCCAAGTTCAAGTCCCGCTTACGGCCGACAATGGTGGCAAATATATGAAATGGTCCTGTGCCACTCCTCGTTCGACTCGGCCTCAAATGAGTACCTGGTTGCGGTGTATAAACACCGCCATTTGGGAGACAAATGCGGTGGGGTGTGGTGCTGGCCAGCCATCCCCCCTCGTGTTGCCGTTCCGGCCTTCGTACGTGCTCGCTAATAGCACTTGCCCCAACAGCTTTTTTAAGGTTACACGGGGGACCTTTGCCTTTTTGGCGGGTCCGAGTGGCACGGCGTTTGGCACGCTGCACCACGAACCCCGCGACCCGAGTTCGAGTCCCGCCCGCGACTCACAACGGTGGCAAGCATGTTGAATGGTCCCGAGCCTCTCCTCGGTCGATCGTAAGCGCACGCTTAACAGCACTTGTCCCAACGAGCGCGCTGAGGCTACGCGGGGGATATCTTTGCCCCGCCCCCCTTTCGCGTCGACGTCTCACTTGATTTGTTTTTTTTACGCAGATTCCGTTTAGCCGGTTTCCCCAGCTGTTGTACTGGGGAGGTGGACGGCAACATACAAAAGAAAGGGAGCCCCACAATAGTAAAAAGAACATCAGCGTCGCTGAGAACGTGCGCAGTTTTTGGGGGGGGTTAGCACGTGACTCGCCGAACCTAACCGCACCAATATTATTAATGCTTTTGCAGGTCAGCGCCCGTGGCTCAAGGGGCCTGGCTGTGAGAGCCGGTCAACTCGCCTGAGCGAGCGAGCGGGCGAGCGGAAAGGAGAACAATTGGCCCGTTGCTCAACGCTCGTGCACGCTGCAGTTCAGCCGTTTGGGGTTTGACCGCAAATTCAGGGCATGACTACTGTGCTTAAGTTGCCCAGTTGAAGCCTCGCTGAGTCCCAAGACTCCTGGGGGTGTTTTTCGGGAGGGTCCTGCCAAGTTTTTTCACAGCAGAGGGGGGTCGATGTTGCTGCTGTGCGGTGCGATCCCAATTGAGTCACTTGCAGGAAATGTGTCAGCGTTGGTGGTGTTTTGGCCGATACCGGCTACGCGTGGTTTTGGGGTTTTTTTGTTCGCTACGGCAGGAAGCCAGAGAACCCGGAGGAAACCCACGCAGGACGGGGAGAGAACACGCAAAATTCCGCACGCTTTCTCAAAGACAAAGATACCACGTATAGCCGGAACAGACTTTTGGAGCGGGTGCTGTTAGCGAGCACCAGCAGGTCGACACAGCCTGATATGAGTACCTGGTGCGGTGTGTAAATCGTCCGCACTGGGGAGACAAAGGTGGTCGAGCGTGGTGCTTGCCACCCAGCGCCCTTGTGTGCAGTGCCAGCCTTCACAGGCGCTGCTTGTTAACAACACTTGCCCCAACAGTCTGTTAAAGGCTATACGGGGGATCTTTGGCTTTGTGTGACCTCTGTGTGTGTGTTAGATCCCCAAAAAAAATGTTTAATAATGTAGGAGTCAAGATGACATCCGTGTCGTACTCAAACATGAACAGATTAAGGCTCCAACTTCCTGCCACGTAGATTTCCCCTGACCTTCACGCCATCACGAAGGTCCTTCGTGATTGTGAGCATGGATCAGGGATCCCGAAAGCATGAAGAATAACCCAGAGCCCTGGTCTACTGGTGGTAGGCCTTGACCAGGACAGTAAAGCAGAGATGTAGAGATGTGCGTGTTATACCTCTGTGTGGTGTGTGTGACCTCTGCGTGTGTGTGTGACCTCTTCGTGTATGTGACTTGTGTGTGTGATCTCTGCGTGTGTGTGACTTGTGTGTGTGACTGTGACATCTGCCTTTGTGTGGTGTGTGTGTGACCTCTGCGTGTGTGTGTGTGTGACCTCTACGTGTGTGTGACTTGTGTGTGTGACCTCTGCGTGTGTGTGACCTCTGTGTGTGTGACCTCTGTGTGTGTGTGACCTCTGTGTGTGTGTGTGACCTCTGTGTGTTGCTGCAGGCCGTTCAGAGGGACTTCAATGGGTTCCAGAAGCTGTTCCACCGCTTCCTCGGGGAGAAGGGGCCTTCGCTCAACTGGGAGAAGATCCAGCGTCCGCCCGAGGGCTCGGTGCGTCAGGGCACGCGACACCCAGTCACACCGCCTTACTTCCAACCACGCCACACTCGGACACACCGCATTACACCCAGACACACCCAGCCACACGACACCCAATCACACAGCGTTACATCCAGCCACGCCATGCCCAGCCACACACAGCCACATACAGCTACACACAGCTACACCACACTCGCCCAGTCAGATCAAAGGATGCCAAAACCAAATAATTAAATAGCTCTGGTTAAGCGGCTGGGCTGACCATTTTTTGCCAGTACCAAGACAGTTAATGATGTTTGGTGTTTGAATCTCTTATTTATTGACAAAAGGGTAAAACCTTTTTTTTATATTTTTCTATCATTCACTATCCTTATCGTTGTTTTTATTATTTATTACAGTAGAAGGCCTCTCTTGACGACGGTGATTGATTCCAAGAAACCGGTCGTTAAGTGATGTCTATAAGCGAGCAGAGGAAATGCACGTTCAAGGCTTAATTCGTTCCGATAGCATCGAATGTTACCCCTTTTTCACCCAAAAAACGTATATTTATAATATTTAAACAATGGATATTAATACATTAAGATACTAATAACATTATAAACACGTAATATTAAAAGAAACATGGTTAATCAATGCATGAGTTAATATTTACTGTACCTACAACAGCCCGTCGTTAACGGGGAATGGTCAGTAAGTGAACACATTGGGCTCTATGGAGGCACTACACTACACTATACACTACACGACTATACACTACACCACTATACACTACACGACTATACACTACACTATACACTACACTACTATACACTACACGACTATACACTACACGACTATACACTAAACTATACACTACACGACTATACACTACACTATACACTACACGACTATACACTACACTATACACTACACGATTATACACTACACTATACACTACACGACTATACACTACACTACTATACACTACACTACTATACACTACACTACTATACACTACACTATACACTACACTACTATACACTATAGTACTTTACACTATAGTACTCTACACTACTATACACTTCACTACTATATACTACACTACTATATACTACACTATACACTACTATACACTACACACTACTATACACTACACACTACGATACACTACACACTACTATACACTACTATACACTACGATACACTACTATACAATGCTATACGCTACACTACTCTACGCTACACCACTATACGCTACTCTACGCTACATTACTCTACGCTACGCTATACACTGCACATTGGGCTCTATGGAAGCCCGTCGTGAAGCGATTAGTCGTTAACAGGGGCGGTCGTTAAGAGGGGTTCTGCTGCATGACGATTATTCATCATCACCATCGTGATTATTCATCATCATCACGATCACCATCGTGATTATTCATCACCATCACCATCGTGATTATTCATCATCATCATCACCATCGTGATTATTCATCATCATCACCATCACCATCGTGATTATTCATCATCATCACCATCGTGATTATTCATCATCATCACGATCACCATCGTGATTATTCATCATCATCATCATCACGATCACCATCGTGATTATTATCGCGACTGCCCTTAGATCGAGCCGTACGAGAGTATCCGCAGCCGGCAGCTGCCCTCGGACCTGGCGTCGCTGCTCAACAAGCTGGTGGTGGTGAAGCTCAACGGGGGCCTGGGCACCAGCATGGGATGCAAGGGCCCCAAGAGTCTCATCGGCGTGCGCAGCGACAACACCTTCCTGGACCTCACCGTGCAGCAGATCGAGGTGAGGCCGGCGGCGAGGCGAGGGTGTGGCCGGCGGCGAGGCGAGGGTGTGGCCGGCTGTGAGGGCGGCTGTGAGTGCGGCGGTGAGTGTGGCGGTGAGTGCGGCGGTGAGGAGAGGCGCGACGGTGAAGCGTGGCGAAGCGACAGAAACCGTGGGCGCTCCCACCTCTTCCAAGACGCCTGGCCATCGTGGAAGAGTAGGCCAAATGCCATCTAGAAGGGCTCCCCGTAGTTGGCGGAGGCCCATCCCGCCGGCAGTGGCGCGAGCCGGAAATTGCGGGGGCTGCGCCCGTTGACCCCGCGGTGCGAGCGGCACGCCAGGGCGCTTGGTCGACCCTCGATTTTTTTTTTGCGCTTGTGCCGTCGTTCCGAGCGCAGCACCTCAACAAGACGCACAAGAGCGAGGTTCCGCTGGTGCTGATGAACTCCTTCAACACGGACGAGGACACGCAGAAGATCCTGCAGAAGTACGGGCACTTCCAGGTCAAGATCTACACCTTCAACCAGAGCAGGTGCGTCGCTCGCCCACCACAAGGAAGCAAAGTGCGTTATCAGTCTGTGGTACTTGTGCGCGAGTGTGTCCGCACGTTGCCGTGTCCGTGTGAGCTCGTACGTATGTGCACGAGAGCGTGTGTGCGTGTGTGTGCAGCGGTGAGCGCGCTGCGATCGGAACCCGGCGACCCGAGTTCGATTCCCGCTCGCTGCTAGCACGGGCCCTCCCCATAAGCCGACCTCGGCCTTGACATGGGAGCTGACGGGCAAAACGCACTCCTTAGAAGTAGGCCGGCCGCGCGCGGCTGATGGGACGTGAAAAAAGAACACGTTCTTTTTCATGACTCGTTAATGGAGCTCGTTACAAAACTGCCGACTCCCGTGACCCCCCCCCCCTCCGCCCCCCCTCCTCCTCCTCCTCCCCACGCCCGCACCCCGGCGTTGGCACCTTTGGACCCGCGCGAGAGCGACGGTGCCCCAGCGTGTGGCGCAGGCCATCCTCGGAAACCAACCCCAGGCGTGTGGAACAAAGTACGGCGAGCGATCGTTGACGGGGGTGGGCGGGGTGGGCGGGGTGGCGGTTAGCGGTAGCGTAGTGGTGGTTAACGGTAGCGTAGCGTGGCGGTTAGCGGTAGCGTAGTGGCGGTTAGCGGTAGCGTAGTGGCGGTTAGCGGTAGCGTAGCGTGGCGGTTAGCGGTAGCGTAGAGCGGTGGTTAGCGGTAGCGTAGTGGCGGTTAGCGGTAGCGTAGCGTGGCGGTTAGCGGTAGCGCAGCATGGCGGTTAGCGGTAGCGTAGTGGCGGTTAGCGGTAGCGCAGCATGGCGGTTAGCGGTAGCGTAGAGCGGCGGTTAGCGGTAGCGTAGTGGCGGTTAGCGGTAGCGTAGCGTGGCGGTTAGCGGTAGCGTAGCGGTGGTTAGCGGTGGCGTAGTGGCGGTTAGCGGTGGCGTAGTGGCGGTTAGCGGTAGCGTAGTGGTGGTTAGCGGTAGCGTAGTGGTGGTTAGCGGTAGCGTAGTGGTGGTTAGCGGTAGCGTAGCGTGGCGGTTAGTGGTAGCGTAGTGGCGGTTAGCGGTAGCGTGGCGGTTAGCGGTAGCGTAGCGTGGCGGTTAGCGGTAGCGTAGCGTGGCGGTTAGCGGTAGCGTAGAGCGGCGGTTAGTGGTAGCGTAGTGGCGGTTAGCGGTAGCGTAGCGTGGCGGTTAGCGGTAGCGTAGAGCGGCGGTTAGCGGTAGCGTAGAGCGGCGGTTAGCGGTAGCGTAGTGGCGGTTAGCGGTAGCGTAGCGTGGCGGTTAGCGGTAGCGTAGTGGCGGTTAGCGGTGGCGTAGCGTGGCGGTTAGCGGCGTCCCGAGTTCCATTCCCGCTCACGGCCAACACCTGTGACATTTATCTGAACCGGTCCCGGGCCTCCACTAGGTCGACTCGGCCTCAAATGAGTACCTGGTGCGGTGTATAGTAAACATCGCCACTGGGGAGACAAAGGCGGCCGGGCGTGGTGTTGGCCGCCCACCCCGTCGTGTGCCGTCCCGGCCTTCATAGGGTGCTCGCTAACAGCACTTGCCCCAACAGTCTGTTAAGGCTACACGGGGGATCTTTGTCTTTGGGGGGGTGGGGGGGGCACTCTGATAATATATTATTATTATTGTTACTGTGTAATCACTCCAGTTGGGAGACGAACTCGGGTGTAATAATCCACGGTGAGACGGCAGCGCCCGCTGCATTAGTAATCCGTATTGCACCTGCGTAAACGCTCAATAACAACAACAATCTTGATGGGTAATCGTCTTTGGGCGCAGGGTGACGCCCGCGTAAACGCCCCCTGCCGCTCAAAACATCCCCCGCGTCACATCTCAAAAAATAATTTCGAGAGGAGGTGGGGGGGGGGGCGCCCCCTTGGGTAGCTGTCACTGTGTGGCATGCAAGGCGGCTCGGATGCCGGTCTGCGAGCGGGCATCGGCCTGCCGGAGGAGAGGGCGGCGAACGCTGCTTCGTGGTCTAGCCGAGGCAAACTCCCGGGGGCAGCTGTCCCCTGTGCGGCACAAGGTGACTCCGGCACGTAGCCGGAGAGCGGGCATCGATCTGACGGCAGGGAAGGGCGATGACCCTTTCCAAAAAGGACCACAGCCATCGCGTCCTCGCACTCGATTGACTCGGCCGGCCGTTTAACAGTCTTCGCTCGGGCTCGCTTACTGGTCTGGCTTTTCTCTGAGCAGGCGGAGGTCAGCTGGTTTGCGCCCTCCCCGCCGTGCGTGTGGAAACGGCGGTGTGCGAACGTGCCCAGCTGTTTGCGAACGCCTCTCGCTGCCGCCGCCCTATTCTTGGCGCCGTGACATTTCCTGCGGTTATTCCGGGCGCTTGCACTCATGGTCCCGGAATAAACGGCAAGACTCGCTCCGGGAGCGGCGGGGTCACCCGGACGCGCTCCCTCGCCCGCTCGACCCCCCCGCCCCTTCCGCGCTGGCGCCCCCCGCCTCCCCGCTCGCCCCTCCTCCACGCCTGCCCTCCGCTCTCTCCCCAAGGTCACCTTGCATCCCTCTGGCCGTGTGGCAACGGCACGTAAGCCAGGGGCCGCTTTCTGGCGCGCAGTCGCAACAACAACAACAACAAAAGCTGCCGCTGCTTCTTGTTCACGCGGCCGCTGGGTGTTCATGTCGAGAGGATGGGACGGCCGTGACTTTCTTTTGTTTTTAACGTGGAGGTGCTTGACGAAGCCGGGCGGTCGCGTCAGCAGTAAGTGGCGTGGTGCGTTGCTACGACGATGATGCCTCCTTCGCGTTTCTATGTTCCATGGTTCCATACTCTCTGGTTCTATTGGGTAAAGTCACGTAGGTAAAAAATAAAATAACAAAAATCACGACGTTTCGGCCACAACACAAGCGGCCTTCATCCGGTGAAGGGACGAGACTGTCTGGAGGACAGCGCTGGAGTGAAAAAAGCCACGCTCAGATCGCGACCTTTAAGCTGTGTGAGAAGAAACAAAGCGCCTTGACAAAGGAATTAGCATAGAATTTAGCATTGAAATGGATGAGTGATTAGCTTGTGACTGGTCACAGAAATGGCTATGTTAAAGTTAAAGCATACACATCCGCAAAGGCACCCCTTGACAAGGGAATTAGCTTTTTTCACTCCAGCGCTGTCCTCCAGACAGTCTCGTCCCTTCACCTGATGAAGGCCGCTTGTGTTGTGGCCAAAACATCGTGATTTTTGTTATTTTATTTTTTACCTACGTGACTTTACCCAATAGAACCAGAGAGTATGGATCCTTGCAGTCACGAAAGCTTTAAATCTAGAATTCCATGGTTTCCGTTCGTTCTGCTTGGCGGCGACGATGACCACAGTCGCTGCACGGAGTTTTTAATCTCCCTTCGTCGCAGTCGACATCACCATCGCCACCACCGAGTATCCGCATCTGCTGCTTGGCATGGTTTGCGTGGTTGTGGTTCGAGGTGGGGTGGGGGGGGGGGGGGGGGGGGGGCAGGGTTGGTGGGGGCCCAGGAGCTTCACGGAAGATTTAAAAAAACAACAAAAAGAAAATGAAATCGCGTAACGCTCACCAAATGAGTTCCCGCCTGACCCTCGCAACTCCAACTTTTACACGACAGAGTGAGAAGCCCGTCGGTGTTCGTCGACTCCCTGATGAATCTCACCCTGCACCGCACGCTCCCCCTCCCCCCGTCAACCCCACCCCCCCAGCGCACCGGCCTATCCACTGTATCATTTTGAGATGGGACTTTGGTTGCGCCACAGGCCGTTGTAAACGGTAATTTATTTCGGGGGCCAATAAGCCGAATCGCCGGGCCAGAGGTAACACGAATGAATCGGTTCACGCGAACTACTTTCAGATGGAACGTGAGTCGTTGAAACTGCTGGTGGAGCGGCCCGGGAGGTGTTCAACGGACAAACGCACGCGCGCGTACAAACACGCACACGCGCATGCGTACGCACAAACACGCACACGCGCACAAACACGCACGCACAAACACGCACACGCGCGCATGCGTACGCGTGTGTATTTCCATGCGTGTGCACACGCACGTACGCACGCACGTGCAGACGCACGCGTGAGCCGCTTATTTTTTTAAAAGGGGACAGGCGCGGGCGTGGCGCGACGTGATCGCCGACCCCAAAATAAAGGACGGGCGAGAGACGCGCTCCCTGCCGAGCGGTCTAAACGTGGCATCGGCAGAGAGGGCACGGGGATAAGAATAACCGCCACCCCCCCCCCCACCCGCCTGGGTCACGCCAACGGCGTTCCGCGTGACTTGCTGCGGGGGAGGGGAGCAATCGCAATGTCTCATGCCCCCCGGTTTCCCCGTCCTGGTGGAATCAAAATTATTTCTTTCTAAATCGATTCCGCGTGCTTTTTAGCCGATGTCTCGCGCTCCCCCTCTCTCTCTCTCGTGTGTTCCTCTATTCCTCATCGGTGTTCCTGTATCTGCTCTCCCCCCGCTCGGTGTCTCGTGTCTTGTGTCCTGTGTCTTGTGTCCTGTGTCCTGTGTCTTGTGTCCTGCGTCCCACGCGTTTCCCCTTTTGTCCCGTAATCTTCTCTCTCGCGCCCCGCATCCCACGTCCGGTACCCTGCGTCTCCCGCCCACGTCCCCCTCTCTCCGTCTCCTGCATCTCCCGCCTCTCGCCCCGTTCCCCCTCAATGTCCCTCGTCCGTGTCCTCTGTCCCTTCTCCTCCCCCCCCCCCTTCTCCTCCGTACCACGTGGTGTCGCCGCGCATCGCCACGTCTCCCGACCCCGTCTCCCCGCTCCCGTGACACCTCCCGCGTCTCCCCACCGCCCCTCCCCCCCTTCCCCAACCGCCCAGGTACCCGCGCATCAACAAGGAGACGCTGCTGCCCGTGGCGGAGAACGTGTCGTGCGTGGGTGGCGCCAGCGAGGCGTGGTACCCGCCGGGCCACGGCGACATCTACGACAGCTTCCGCAACTCGGGCCTGCTGGACAAGCTGCTGGCGCAGGGCAAGGAGTTCCTCTTCGTCTCCAACATCGACAACCTGGGCGCCACCGTCGACCTGCACATCCTCAACCACCTGGTGAACCCGCCCAACGGCAAGCGCTGCGAGTTCGTCATGGAGGTCACCGACAAGACACGCGCCGACGTCAAGGTTTGTCGCGTGTGTGCGCGTGCGTGTGTGGGCGCGCGTGTGTGCGCGTGCGTGTGTGGGCGCGCGTGTGTCTGCGCGTGTGTGCGTGTGTGCGTGTGTGGGAAAGCGGTAGTGTTAGTAGCGGTCAGCGCGCTGGGCTTCGAACGCCGCGACCCGAGTTCAATTCCCGCTCACGATTATCTGAACCGGTCTTCGACTCGGCCTCAAATGAGTACCTGGTGCAGAGTGTAAACAGCGCCATTGGGGAGACAAAGGCGGCGAGGCGTGGTGTTGGCCACCCCACCTCCTCGTGTGCCATGCCAGCCTTCATAGGTGCTGCTCGTTAACAGCACTTGCCCCTACAGCCACTTGAGCCGGCACCGCCGAGTCTTTGGCTTTCCGATTTATTTATTTTTCCCTGCGTTCTGGCGACTCGAAACGGAGAGTCGCCGACTCGTGTCCATTTGCCGCTGACCCCCGCCGTGACCCCGCCGTGACCCCCCCCCCCCCCCCCCCCCCCGTGTGGCGTGCGGCCTTGCAGGGCGGTACGCTGATGCAGTACGACGGGAAGCTGCGCCTGCTGGAGATCGCGCAGGTGCCCAAGGACCGCGTGGACGAGTTCAAGTCGGTGACCAAGTTCAAGATCTTCAACACCAACAACCTATGGATCTCGCTCGGAGCCATCAAGAGGAACACGGACCTGGACATGGAGGTCATCGTGAACCCCAAGGTGCGACCTCGACCCTCAACGATCACCACCACCACTACTAGCCTGCACCACTCGCCCTCCACCCCTCACTACCACTCACCTCCACCCCTCACCTGCACCACTCACCACCACCCCTCACCTGGCACACTGCTGCCAGGGAGGGCGTCTCACCGCAGCGCGTCAGCGCAGTGGGCACCCCCAGTGGCAGCCGTCCTTGTGCGGGGCAAGGTGACTCGGCACTGGGGGGGGGGGGGGGACCCCCAGTTTCGAGCGGCGTCCGGGCGATCTTCAACGTCCGCGGCGAGCGGGGCGGACGGCGCGTAGTAGTGGCGCTTCGGCGTTGACACCGCACCGCCGCAGTTATAACCAGGGCGGCCCACCGTGCTGGAACCGCTAACCTTTTCGGCGAGCGCGTCACCGCTGGTCACGCGGTGACACCGCCGGGCACCACAGTGGCTATGTGATGTTATCTTGCTCGCCTGATATGCAGGAAGTCGGGGGTTCGATCCGGACACTGACGCCTGCTGTATATTTGGCGTTTGCGGCGTCTCTCTCACACGCGACCACGGGGAGAGAGGATTTTGTTCTCCGGGTTTTTCCCACAACATTTAGAAACATACGTCTCTATTATTTTGATTTTTTTTTTTGCTTTAAATTCCCACATGATGGGGCCACTTGGGTGAGCTATACATTTGTAGTGTATGAAATTACTCACACTGACACGGAGTAACAGGGTCACCTGCTCACATTCTAGATTTGAAGATATATAAACATAGACATTACTTCAACCGAGAAGATGGATACAAATTGAGCAATCATTGGAAGGATATGCTTTATTGTTTGCTCTCATATCCGCATCTCCAGTCTCTTACACCCAGCCCTGCTCAGTCCCATCATTTAGAAATTTGCCTTACGTGCTCCATGTACCGCCCCGTGCTCTCATTTGCCTCCTTTCCCCTCCACCCTCTCTATCCTTGGCTCCCCCCCCCCCCCCTTCACCTATATAACCCCCTGGTAATCGCAGCTCTTTTGCCTATTTCAGCAACGTTTGCTGTTTTTGCTCTGATTGTTCCCACCTGATGACGGATGCTTGTGTTGCATCCGAAACGTCGCGATTTAATTTACTTGTATTTATTTTTTATTTTTCACCTACGTGACTTTACCGAAAGAACCAAAGCGTATGACACCTGCTTACACTTTATTAATCCTACTCTCGCACCAGTTGTAGGCACACCTATGGCTGCCTCTCACTGCCACCACACACGCTGCTTCCTCCTACTACCCGCTCTCATCTACCCCGCACCTCACCTACTCTCTCCTAACTCATCGCTGCTGCCCCCTGCTCTTCCCCACGCTGCCTCGTACCCACGCTCTCGTACCCACGCTCTCGTACCCACGCTCTCGTACCCACGCTCTCGTACCCACGCTCTCGTACCCACCCTGCCTCGTACCCACGCTCTCGTACCCACGCTCTCGTACCCACGCTCTCGTACCCACGCTCTCGTCCCCACGCTCTCGTACCCACGCTCTCGTACCCACGCTCTCGTACCCACGCTCTCGTACCCACGCTCTCGTCCCCACGCTCTCGTACCCACGCTCTCGTACCCACGCTCTCGTACCCACGCTCTCGTACCCACGCTGCTTCGTACCCACGCTCTCGTACCCACGCTCTCGTACCCACGCTCTCGTACCCACCCTGCCTCGTACCCACGCTCTCGTACCCACGCTCTCGTACCCACGCTCTCGTACCCACGCTGCCTCGTCCCCACGCTTTCGTCCCCACGCTCTCGTACCCACGCTCTCGTACCCACTCACCCGTCTGCCCCGGGTGGGGGGTTCAGCCAGCACCCGCCCGGCGACCAAGTGAGGGGCGAGTATGACGCCTCTAATCACCGCCCCCACCTCCCGCCTTTCAGGCGCCAATCCCGTGTCCCCAACGCGAACACCTACTCGTCGCCAATTGCACCCTCTCAACTGCGCGCACTGCGTACATCCCTTCTGAAAAATAAGCGGATAGCTCCAGTGGTAAGATAAAAAAATGGTTTTAGCTTTATTTGTGGTATATCTTTTTTTTTTAAGGGATTTGTTTACCTTTCCTGTAGTTTGGTGGAACATCCGTCGTGTGGCACTGGCTCCTCTGAGAAGCCGTGCGAGGGGGATATGGGGGTGTGTTTGTCGTTGGCGTAACATTCTGACCCCGTGCCCCCCCCCCCCTCCCCGCGCTACTGAACACCTGGTCAAAAAGAGCTTTGTAGCTCATTGGAATCCTCCTGCAGTGTCAAAAAAATATTCCGACGATTCCCATTCCCACGCCGCGCAGACCCTGGACGGGGGCCTGAACGTGATCCAGCTGGAGACGGCCGTGGGTGCTGCCCTCAAGAACTTCGACAACGCGCTGGGCATCAACGTGCCCCGCTCGCGCTTCCTGCCCGTCAAGACGACCTCCGACCTGCTGCTCGTCATGTCCAACCTGTACAGCCTGAGCGCCGGCTCGCTCACCATGAGCGACGCGCGCGAGTTCAAGACGGTGCCGCTCGTCAAGCTCGGCAGCTCCTTCACCAAGGCACGCGGGGGCATGCGCTTGGGGGACTCGAGGATGGGGCGCGCGGGGCGCACGTGCACGCGTGACGTGCGGGGGGGGCACGTGTGACACGTGGGACTTGTGGGACACGCAGGTACACGTGCTGACGAGGGGGAACTTTTGCCTGTGGTGTGTGCAGGTGCAAGACTACCTGCGCCGCTTTGCCAGCATCCCCGACATGCTGGAGCTGGACCACCTCACCGTGTCCGGGGACGTCACCTTCGGCAAGGGCGTCGTGCTCAAGGTGAGCGAGCCGGCGTGGCCCTCGGCTCCTCCCCCACGCTCCGTTGGCCAAAGCCAGCTATGATGCTCTCGATTTTGCGTTTCCTCCCCCCTCCCTCCATCCTCCACCCTCCGTCCTCATCCCCCCTCTTCCCTCCTCCTCCCCGCTCCTCCCTCCCATGACGTTCCGTTTATGGACGGTGCGATGACGTTTGGCTCTCGGAAGAGAGGCGTTCATTCTGGACGCCCGCGTCCTTCTCGGCCTCCTGTGAACGGAACTAAAAGCCGCCGTGGAGGCGAAATGAACGTCATTTCATTTGAATCCAGACGTGGCCTGCCGATGACTCCCATCGCGTGCGTTGGCGTGCAGGGCACGGTGATCATCATCGCAAACCACGGTGACCGCATCGACATCCCCACGGGGGCCCTCCTCGAGAACAAGATCGTGTCGGGCAATCTCCGCATCCTGGACCACTGAGGAGTCGCCCGCCCCGCGGCAACGGCGTCGCCGCGGCGGCGGGGTAGCCGCGGCAGCGCGGTCGCCGCGGCAACGCGGTCGCCGCGGCAACGCAGTCGCCGCAGCGGCGGGGTCGCCCCGGCGGCGGGGTCGCCCCGGCAACGAAGTATCCACGACGAGGGCGACGCCGATGGCGACGGTCGCGCGTCGCCCAGCCCGCTCCATGTCTCGCGCTCGGCTCGTCGTCGCCTCCCTCCGCCTCGCTCGCCCGGCGCGTCGCCGTGCGCCGGTGACGCGTCGCCGTGCGCCGGTGACGCGTCGCCGTGCGCCGGTGACGCGTCGCCGTGCGCCGGTGACGCGTCGCCGTGCGCCGGCGACGCGTCGCCGCCGGCTTTAGGCAGCGGTCGGCGGTCGGTGGCGAGCGACGTCCGAGCCGTCACCCCCGCCCCTCCCCAAGTGTCCGCTCCGTTTGCCGGCGTGGTGAAGTATGGTCGGACGAAACCACGTGACTTGACACGCCGTAGCGATGCCGTCGTCCAGCAAGGCGGATCGATGGAGCGGCTGTAATAAATATTTATGTAGTCTAGAAATGCGGTTTGCGGTGACGACGCTTTTTAAAATTACTCTCCTTGCCATATTAACTGTGATTTGAAACGGAACCCTCGTGTCACCCGATTATAGAACCTACCCCGGTGTTGTCCGATCGCACGCACGGAATCCTCGATTTGCGTCAGATACAAAATCCCCTTGGTGCCTCGGAAAAATGTGCATTAACCACCGTAGAGGAGCAACCGCCCACGCGCACCATCGTCGGCGATTCGGTGTCGCCGGGTTGCAGCTGCTGCACAATAAGTCGCATGCAGCTCTCGGCAATTACTTGAATTAAGGGGCTGCATGCGTGCGTGCGGTGGTGTGGAGTGGTAGCGCAGAGGATAGCGCGCTGCGCTACAAAGCCCTGTAACTCCCCGGTTCGATTCCCGCTCACGGCAAACACCGGTGACTAATGTCTGAACCGGTCCTTGGGTCCTCCTCTAGGTCGAATCGGCCTCGGATGAGTACCTGGCGCGGTCTGTTAAACATCGCCACTGGGGAGACAAAGGCGGCCGGCCGTGGTGTTGGCAACCCACCCCCTCGTGTTCCGTGCCGCCCTTCGTAGGTGCTCGCTAATAGAACAGTCTGTTAAGGCTACACGGGAGATCTTTGTCTTGTCTTGTGTGCGTGTGTGTGCATGTGGTCCCCCCACCCCACCTTCTTAGGCGCTGCTCGCTAACAGCACTTTGGCCCCAACAGTCTCAAGGCGACGACGTGGGGTGGGGGGTTGGGGTGGGGGTGGGGTGGGGGGGTGAGGGGGGAATGGGAGCGGTTGTCTCTGTCCACCCCGTTCCGCTGGGCCCCCCCAGCAAGTCCAGCTGGGCGAGAGGCCGTTCCGCTACCGAGCCCCGACCGGTACCTGGCGCGTTTGTCAAATTGATCCGCCTCCGCATTTCAATGAAGAGCTGCAGCAGGCGACGCCGAGCCAATTTATTTATTTTTTTGCCGGGCCACTCGCAGCTTCCTGCCGCGTGGCCCGGCCAAACCTCTGCTCTCTACTCCGCCACGACGGCATCTGTCGGCTCGCCGACGCCGGAGTGGCGCTGGTGCCGCGGGGCTCGCGTTGGAGGCAAAGCATCCCCCCCCCCCCCCCCCCCGTTTGTGAAGGAACGTGTGCCGTGTTTCGCGAGCGCCTGCCAAGGCCGGAACGGCACATCGGCTGTTCCACTTAGAACCTTGCCCCGCCCCCAGCCTCGTCGCTGATGTCGTCCGTCCAGGATTTGAACCCGGGTCGCCGAGGTCATTGCACTGACTCCCCCGGCTCGTTCGCGTGGTGATCGCTGCTTGCTGGGACACGTGGAGGCGGACGCACGGTTTTTGTTTAGAGTATCGCCTGTGGTGTACGCCACAAGGGCCCGGCGTTCGGCGCGGTTGAAAGAGAATCTCCCGTCTCGGTCGCCCCTCCGATACCTCTTTTTTCCCCCCCCCCCCCCGCACAGCCGTGCCGAGACACCGGCCCGGTGTGGCTCGGCAAAGCCCCCTCCGGTCCGTTTATCCACCGCGGCAGCCGAACCGTGCCACCGACGCCGAGACGCACCCGGCGCGGTGTCGCCGGCCGACGTCGCACGCAACGCCGAGCCAGATTCAGATGTTGTTGCCTTGCGTAGCCACGCGGTGGCACGGTTTGGTTCCGGGTCGGCACGCCGAATAGTCCGGTGGAAAGCCACCCAATCGTGTGAGGGCCACCCTACCCCCCCAGCTCGCGTGTTGTAGTGGAAAAAGAGATATCAACCCCCTCGCACACCGCCCACCCAACACCTGCCGCGTGGCTCCGTGGTGCTCGCGATGCCCCCCGTGTTGGCGGGCTGCTCCTGCCGCTCGTCGTCGTTACTCGGAGGGATTCATTTTGTTGTTGTTGTTGTTGTTGCGGTGAGACTTTATTTATTAATTGTATTTCTCGTCATTCTCGCCCGGGCGGCTGCGGGAGGCGTCGTCCGTGGTGGCGACGACGACGCCGACGACGCGGTGGAGGAGCGAGAGGAGCCGCCCCAAGTCGTGGGGGGCCCGGGGTTGGTGGCACAACGCGACGGGATTCTCACCGCCCACCCCACCCCCATGTCCCCCTCGCACGGCTTCTCATAGGAGGCAGTGTGCCACACAAGGGATGCTCCACCACCCCCTCCGGCCTCCCCCGCTGCCCCACCACCACCACCAACAATGTTTGTTCCCTCCTAGGAACCAAACTGAGCAGGAAAACCGGGTGAAGCCTCGTAGTAACGCACACCGCTAACAAGTCGCTAAGCAAACCGCTGTCCCATAGACGGCGCGATGGAACTAACGAATGGATCTCAGCGGGGGGGGGGGGGGGGGGGGTGGGAGACTCGCTGACAGCTTCTCCGCTTCCCTTACTCCCTCCGATCCACAATCCAGCAAGGGAGTGAACTCCGACCCTGGTTTATTTATGCTTTTAAACTCCACGCGCGATGGAACGAGACCCTCGCCGCCCCCCCCCCCGCCCCGCCGTGCCCCCTTGCCTGGAGAGGAGCGCGGAGCGGTGAATAACGGTGCGGCCCGGAGCGTTGTAAGCGAACGACGTTCCGCCACCGCCACCTACCTACGTGTCGTCACTGTGTATTTACAGAGTCCCGTTGGGTGCACGAGTGTGGCGATGATGGCCGAGATGAGATGTCTATACGGTACGGTACAATAACAATAATGACGATAATATATTGATGTGAACCCGCGCGCGTTGTTGAGCCGTGCCCGTGAGAGAAGCGCCCGCCGCTGCCGCCGTGTGGGCAAGCGGCCGCGTTGCGGGGATCCGCAGTGCGATCTGTCGGTCTGCCACCAGCTCGCGGCATCCGTCGACAATAAAGGCGAGGTGGAAAGTCGTCGAGTGGTCGTGAGCGGGGGGACCGCGCGAGTCGATGATTCCAACAGCTGCTGTGCTGCTACGCTGCTACGCTGCTACGCTGATGCTCGCGGAGCGACTTGGGAGCGGCGGCTCTCGCGTTAGCGGCGGCCTCCTGGATGGGCGCTCGGCGGTAGAGAGAGAGAGAGTCGCGAGTTCAATATCCTGGTTTGTGCATTGACTCGGCCCATCATCATCCCCTCCCCCCCCCTCTCGGGTCGATAAAATTGGCACCACTTCGTGGGTAAGTCAACGGTGGTTGTCGTCCTATGGATGATCTCGCCCCCAGCATAGGAAGGTGGAATTTCCGTCACTGGCTCGGAGCGAGCAGTTCGCGATCGGAAGGTCGCGAGTTCGAAATCCTGGTGGGTGGCGTTGACTCAGCCCATCATCCCCACCCCGATAAAATAGCTCCACGTTCGTGGGGAAGTCAAACGGATGTCGTCCTCCATTGGATAAACTCGCCCCCACCATAGCAATGTGGAATTACGGCCGCTGTGCTCTGCAGGGCTGTCAACAGGTCGACGAGCCTCGATGCCGCCGTGGCTCAGCCGAGCTTGCAGGTAACCACTGTGACCTCCGGCTCTTGTCGCCGGCCTCACCCCGACGACCCCGCTGGGCGTCCCTCCGCGTCTCGTAAAAGTCACGAAGCAGCTGATTACGGCTATTTCCGCCAGCAGTTTCCACCGGATGTGTATAATAAGTGGCGAGTGTGTGTGTGTGGGAGCGGTAGTGCAGCGGGTTGGTGCGCTTCGTGACGAGCCCCAGCGACTCCCGAGTTCAATTCCCGCTCGCGGCCAGCACCAGCGGCGAATCGGGTCGACTCGGCCTCAAATGAGTACCCGGGGCGATGTTTTCATCTTGATGTACAGAATGGAGGACCCGGGTGAAAACTCGCACCATCGGCCGAGCGAGGGGGCAACACCCTATCCCATACAGAAAGGACGGATGATGCCAGCCAGCACTTTGCCGAACTGCATTCTCGTGGGGTAAGGGGGGGGGGCGGAGGCGAGTCCGCAGTTTGCTGCGTGTCGCCTTATTATCCTGGCGAGCGCCTCCTCGACCCCCCTCCCCCCCTCACGGTGCAGGCGAATGGAGTTTCGCAACGATGGTACGGTCACCCGGCCACGTGCGTCGCCGCCGGGCACCCTGGCGAGCGAAAGAAGGACCCCCCCGCAACTTGGCAGTCCTCCCCAGGGACCGTCCAGGCGAGAGGCGGGGAACCTTTTTTTTTCTGCCAAGGGACCATTTGGATATTTATAACATCGTTCGCGGGCCATGCAAAATTATCAACTTAAAAATTAGCCTTGTTCTACTTGGTCAAACATTTAATTAACTCGCCCCTAATGCGATGGCTGGAACTGCTTCTCTTTGGCGAAGCGTGTGATGATGTTAGCAGTTATTGATGTTTTTCCAAGGTTTGCTTCTAGATTTATTGAATTTCGAGTCCCGCCTGCGGTTGCCTTGGCAGGGCCAGAGACCAAATTATTTCGCAAGCCTCATACGGCCCGCGGGCCCTAGACGACCCGCGGGCCGGACTTTCCCCACCCCTGGTCTAGGCTGTCGTGGGGGGACGGATTTCGGCAGTTCGAAAGCTTTCCCTAACTTTTCTTTTTCGAATGGATCTTTGTTCGATGGCCTCTCAGCACCGTCACCGAAGCTCCGTTTTATATTCGGTCTATGACGGCGGATAACATTTTAGGGAAGAAGAATAAGAAAAATGTTTCGTATTTCGTGGCGACGAAAGCAATGAGGTCGTCTCGCGCGTAGGAAACGCTGTGGATTTATTATCCACAAACCGAGGTTTTGTTGCGTCGTTAAACCCGCCGTAACCCAACAGCCGATTTGGTGAGGTTTGCCACGTAACCAAAACGTGCCAATTCGTTTCTAGGTCGGCGCTAACCGGTTGTGTGTCGGAGAGTAAACCCCGCTACAGCGTGACGTTTCGCCGGTAATAACAATAACAACAATAACAACAACAATAACAACAATAACAACAACAATAACAACCACCAGCCACCAGCGAGCATCATCAGGCGATCTAAAATCATTACCGGTGCATCGTCACAGGACTCGAGATTGTAAATGTTTCCTCTTTGGTTCTTTCGGTAAAGTCAACGTAGTTAGAAATAAAATCAAACAA